AAGTGCATCGCTAGTAGTAACAAGTGCCTTACTAGTAGTAACAAGAAGCTATTAGAAACAAGTGCATTGCTAGTAGTAACAAGTGCCTTACTAGTAGTAACAAGAAGCTACTAGGAACAAGTGCGACCGATGTCTTCAGTCGACTCGTCGACCGTTCCCACAGGCGGAAGCCCAGGCACGCTTGGCGGAAGGCGAAGATGCCCGCTTCCTCTTGGGTGTGGAGTTGCCTGCAGAATGGAAGGGTGGGCTACTTGACGATGTTGGTGGGCCAAGGCCAAAAGAAACAAAGTGCTGTATTTCAGATTCCCTTTTGTTCTATTTTGCTGTGACTTCTCTTGAGCTGCATTCTCAAGATTTATTCCGTCAACATCGACTTTGACAATAAGGACTTTGCCGCCGATGCGAAATATCGACGCAGCGCACAGCTTGCCAGCCCGTCAAGACTTGCCTAAGTTTGTCTTGCCACTTGCCCTGAAAGGATATCTAAAGATTCCAACGGATGCCAAAGCGTTCCTGTTCATGTCTACTGTATTTAAGGCAACATTTTGCTGTTCCACGCTGTTGTCTTTTCACGTGGTGTGTTCTTGTTTCTATTGGGGTTTAATGAGGGGCATGAGGAAGACCAGTGATTTGGAGGGACAGAATGACAAAAATTGATAAACATGGACATTGTCATGGGCTGACTCCTCCAATCTTGCGGATAGCAGGACTTGCTGACGAGCACGCACGGGGGCGGGGCTCGCGCCGTCGGTTCCGGACGAGGCCATTGAAGATGGATGTCGTGGAGACCTCCAACACACGCATCAGGCTCTTCGTTTTTTCCTGGAGCCGGGGACTCTGCAGCGGCCTGGGTTCAGTTTGTCAACCAGGCTCGGCTCCACACAACAAATCGCATGACACAGGCTGAAACCAGTTAGCTAGCGTGAGTAAGTAGCCATGGGCAAAATGAACCGAGGATGTCGATGGATGTCCAAGACGGCAGAGCATGAACTTAACAGACATAGAGCGTTGCATAGCAGCATGGTATGCCTAAGTTCACTTCTGAGATGGGCCAGGTAGCGCCTTGGATTGATGTGGCGATCTTCGAACGGCCTGGGCATGGACAACGCACCTCCGAGCCGTTGCACATGACATTGGTAGATGAAGCCAAGGAGCAATTTCATAGACAGTAGTACCGGTGTCTTGGTTGGTTGAGGTAGGCAGGAACACCAACCCTCTCTCCCACCTAACAAACTAGCATGCTGTTTACTTGATGAAGGTTCGAGTAGTAAAGGTTACCCGTCTTAGGAGTGGGAACAGCAGAAGTAGTAGTAGGAGTCATTCTTGTTGCATTGCAAGCTTGTCATCGTTCGGCGAGCTTGATGAGGGCAAGCGCCGCAGGAGGCATTTGAAGCAATCGAGAGCGTTCTGTCGCAGCATGCCAAGGTCAACAGTCAACTCTTGCCATTTAGGTGACCAACTCATGGCAGACTGTGGACAGTTGCATCAGGATGTTCAAACCGCTCTTGACAATACGGGAGAAGGTTGAGCCCTTGCGCATCCCGTGTCAGGGTGGTGCTTTTGAAGGGGCTCCGTTTGCTCTTCTGGGGCATTCCATGGGATGCCAGATGATGGTTGAGGCTGGCCATTCAAGAAAGTTGTCGTGCACACCAGTACCATCCCCGGCGTGAATAGATGTGAATAGATGTGAATAGGTCATCATAAAGCTTTCCTTCTTCTTTATGGTTTGGTCAGTTGAGGTCGCTTTGCTGCTGAAACGAAATCTGGGCCTCGAAGCAGTGACGCTCTTTGCAGTTGACCGAGGGGCTCCACATCTTCCCCTGTATAGCGAAGAAGGCTATCGCATGCTATGCGAGGAGGAGCCTTTGGAGTTCTTTGAAGGTTTCAATCCGGTTGTGTGACTTCGACCAAAGGTTTCAAAGGAGTGCTAAAAGCAGTACCAATTACTTGTACTTGCTCTGACTGTAAAGGAATGGTTTGAAGGATGCAGGTGTAATGTAGGGACTAAGGGTTTTCCATGGAAGAAAAGACCAAGTCGTGTGCCTTTGCGCAAATGAGGCACAAACTGATGCAGCGACCTGATAGACATGAGAACAAGGATACGCAGCGAATGATCAACATGTGGAAAAGCGATTGTCGCCTTTCACAAGAACATTTATGGCCAGAAGGTGCTCGACTCTGCAGGAAAGGCATTTTGTATCATTTGCACATCACAGAAAAACCATGCCGTGCAGTCGCTTTGCGAACCACGCATTGGCACGGCTTGAGGCCATCATGCATTCCGCTGTGATTTGTTCCTTGGTGAAGCTGTGGTTAAGAGGTTAAGAGGCATTTGTCCTTGTGTTCAGAAAGGATACTTCATCCCAGTGGAAGGTTTGCTGAAAAATGCAAACCAAATCAAGCTTGATATGAATCTGCTTGAAGCAAGGCATGTCTTCCGTGCTTCGCGGAACTTCACCATGGATGAAAAAGCAGATCTTTGGCGGCATGGAGATGTTGCTACTGAAGCCGCTACGGTGTGAAATTTGAGGAGTTTTCTCGAAGGTGCACACAATGCCGAGCAACCTCGACCGAGGCTCAAAGAGCTCTGCATGGGGAGCTGAAGAGAATCCATGAACTCTGCTGCCGCATCACCAACTCTGGGCCAAAGAGTTCAGCCCCTTGGTCACCAGGCAGCTATGAGGCATGGAAACAGTGGACTACGGAAGGCTGCAAGGCTGGGGTGATGAGAGCTCCAACAGAAACTGAGAGACTGGCGAAACGGTTCGGAGCAAAGCGCCACGCATCCCATAGTTGGAAATTCGTAGTCTTCCCCTCTGGAACAGGAACAGGAACTCCCTCCCCGGGAAAAAGAAGTGGACGTGTTGCGTGGAACAAGAGCTGGAATGACATTTGAACTGGACCATTAACTGGAACTAGACCCCGCCCCTTCGCCGGAAAGACGAGAGATGTACGGCATTGACCCATTGAAGCGTATATACTGGAATCGAAACTGGAACTAGGACATGAACTGGAACCCCTCTCCAGCAAAAGAAGGGACACCCACGATAGTGCTTGAACCATTGCATCGGAACCAGAACTGGAACTGGATCCCCCGGGCTGTTTGAAACTGGAACTGGCAGCGGAACTGGATCTAGAACTGGACCCCCTCTAACAACGTCAGCTATTTCGAACTGGAACTGTTCCAACCACCTATACGACAACGAGAAAAAGAGTCAGGCATAGATGATATGTGAAAACCACGTGTTTTTCTATGTTCCGACTCGTCTCCCAGACACAGTTCATGATGCAGAATATGCATTTTCCTCCCCAAACGAAAATGAGGCCTCCGCCTAGCCAAAGCTATATAGCGATGATGCACTACTTCAGTTTAACGCCTCAGCACCTTCGGTGCCGGCGGATTTCAACACAATCTTTTGAACCCATACAACTTTGGGAAACGCACCGATGAGCAGTTGCTACTCTTTTTGTTGGGTGACTTTTTTACATCAAACCAATGCACATTAAACTAAAAACTCCATGAGAGAAGGTATGATATGTGATTTGATGCAGAGGTACACCTTTAGTCTCTTCTAGTTCATGGAGTTGTGGATTTTTGGCAAAAATCAACCTTGTTCTGAAGGTGCATGACATTGACATAGATCATATCGGTGTGGGGAGGCTCAGGATGTTTCCTTTTTGATTTCTGAAATGGACAGGCGTCCAAAATTGATTTCAGACCTGAGGTGAAATTGCATGCAGCCACTGTGCGCATCATAGAAGAGGTTTTGGAGTCCAAGGTTGTGTTCTAGGAGGGAAGAAGTCGTTCAAATTTTCCAAATTCCTTCAACGCTCCTGGCCCTTGCCAAAGAGAACATGCAAGGGACTCGGGAAGCCAAAGCCTGCTTCCATTCGTGTCAAAAACACGAGCAGTGTTGATGGTATCCGATTGTTCTCGGACTGGTTTGTCCTGCGGCACGTACAAAATCTGAGCGGTCTTTGGAGCTATAATCACTTCTAACATTTGTGGCGGTACTTGGTCTGTCGGGCATCGCTACTAGAAGCAAGGACGCTACTAGTAGCTCCTGGCCTTACTAGTAGGAACAAGAAGCTACTAGTAACAAGGGCATCGCTACTACTTGTAGTAGCTTCTAGCTACTAGTAGTAATGCCCTTATTTGACCATAGGTGCGGAGCCGGAGAACGCCAAGGAGCGGACATTGTGACCATGGAGAGGGCTGAGCTCGGCTCCAGCAGAGCTTTAGGATGCGAGGGGAAATGTTGCTGGACACATTGAGGCTACCATGAAGCTGCCAGAGATTGAGTTGAGTAGGGCAGAGGTTGCTGTGCATGGGTGGATGCTTCAGGCTCTTTTTCGACGTGGTCAGGCTGCAGCAGGAGCTCGAGTCTGTTTGAGCACAATAACTGGGTTGCGGAAGTTCCGGAAGCATACCATAGTGGCCAGTGCAGGTTGCAATCGTTTCCGAGTCGTTTCCTTCGTTGTGTTGACATCGGTCAAAGGACAAGGCGACTACGAGGCACGGTGGGTCGTTGCGGGAGAGGTCGAGTGGTCGGTGGAATTCGTTTCGGCCCAATCTGAGGATGCATTGAAGGACCTCCAAAGGGCCGCTGAGCTGATGCCGCAGGAGATGTGCCGGTGCACATCATACAATGGTGACAGTTGACCATGCGAAAACATGCATATAAATAAGTAATCTATTCTCTTTTTGTGAATCAACGGTCAACAATATGTGACAAATGACTGCCCATGTGTGGCCGGAGCCCTGTGCCTGAAAATCTGTGCAGGACCGGGGTATCCGATCCGAAATCCAGGCAGTGCAACGTGACCTCCGGGCGCACCGCGAGGCCGGCTAGGACGACGATTTTTCAGTTCCTCTGAACGGTCACCAGTAGCACCATTGTTTTGGAGCATTCTTTTGGGACCCTCCAAGTCTATTCATGAAGCGATCGTGGTTTGAATGGATTCCTCTGTTCCACAAGCCGTTGACATCTCGCATTGATGAAACAAGTAGACCTGCGCGCAAACGGTTTCACATCCATGGCTGAGAATGGCATGGGCTTGAAGGTATGCCTAGTGTTTCTTGCTTCTTTCCGATGCATGGACTGATGTAACTGTAGGCGCAGAAGAATATGTTCGTGAATGTGTTCGATCCTGGCAGCAGAAAAGTTCAAGGACACGGGGACACGGTGCTGGTGCTTCTCTTTTTTTTTTCTAAAGTCACCACAACGAACTGTGGACCGTGAGATGTGGGTGTGGCCATTTGCTGCCTTCCATAGGAGAACAATAACATCTCCTTGTAGATGAGCTGGATTCGCTGGATGTGCTCGTTCTCGGCCAATGGGTGCAATGGGTGCTTTGAGCATTGGTGCCAATGTGGAGATGGCCCATGTGACGCGCGGAGATCATCTTGTTCCCTGTCCTTGCCTCCACGAATCTTGGGAGCGAAGGCGGCACTCTGCGCCACTTGTCTCACCATTCTGCGAAGCAAAAGGTGCCCAGGATGCCTCAGCTGTTGTCTTGAAGGCATATTTATATATCTATATACATACATTGACCCGCCACATTGCGATTTGCGCAGGCTTACGACTCAGGGCGCAGAGCAAAGAAGAGCCTTGAGTCGCAATCGTGCGCTGCCTCAGTCGGCGGAAAGTGTCCGGCGTTTCAGGACTGGTCACCGGCCACGAGCAACACAGCACGGGGAGAAGACCAATATAGATCAATTGAAGTTTGTCATGAAGGTGAGTTCAGATAGTTCAGGAAGTAAGAGCCAGGCCTTGTAATGCCAACATCTATCTATCTCATATGTATGTATATATATATATATATAAATGTGTATGGAGTTCGCTGCGTTGAACCTAGAAACAATCACGGAGGACAGGCTGAACATGCTGGATTGCCCTTTCCAAAGTCGCAGCCTGGCACACAAGTCCTGCGGAGGTCCGTGGAACTTGGCCTGGATGACTTCGAGACACAAGTCCTTCGGCAGGGTGGCTGAGAGATGACAGCTGGGTCCGGCTGGGTCCAGCTCGATCGTTGGATGAAAGGGGCAACGGACCAAGGACCAAGGGCAAGTGGGATCTCAATTGGAGTCGAGATTTGAGATTTCTGAAAGTGCCAGAGCAACATGAGCAAATCTTTTCAAGGGACGAGTTCAGTTTTAAGGTTGTAGTTTTTGCTCAGCGTGTGAACATGGGACACCTAGTACATTCCAGCTTCGGGAACCCATGTCGGCCTTTGTGAGTCCAGGTCCAACGAAGTATGGTTTGTGCAAGCCTACGACCCCAACGATGGGAGCTGCAAGTCGTTTGCCACCGGATGGGAGGAGAGAATAATGGACTGTCCATAGTGATCATACTTGCGATGGCCTCTACCCTACTAGCGATGGCCTCCAACCTAATTGCGATGGCCTCCAACCAGTCCAACTCAACCGTGTTGGACTTTATCCGTTCCGTTCCAACACGAGAAGATGACGTTCCGTGCGGCCAGGATGTGGCACATACCTATGGAGAGTTTGCAAGCTTCGGCCGGCTAGATGTCACGAAGGGAGAGCTGAAGGCCTGGCGATCGCGCTTTTGGAGGGGAGGATGTGTCACCGATTTTCACCAGACTTTCATTATTTCATGAACGAACCAGCTTTTTGCTCTGAATTCCAACCAGCCAAAGCACTGACCTGTTCACAATTTCTATCATTTTTTAGCAGCATTTTAGGACGACAAACTTATCAATCTCCCATTATTTGTAACACAGCTCTCATCATATGGAGGAACCATGAGAAACCTTTTTGCCGGCAACAAACTCATGCTGATTCACAGATTCAAAGCATATTTGTCATGAGGAGTTGCGATGAGGTGCATAAAACGAGCGGGGAGCTTTTCTTGCGAAGCCCCAGAACCCGCAAAGCCCACAACAGAACATTTCAGCCATCCGCATGACGATCCGTGAAGCAGACCGTTGATGCCATGTCGCTGCCCGAAGCCTTCCGCGTTGCTGATCTCTTGGAGGTACCGACCCTTTTTTTTGCCATGGACTTTTCAACAAAATCACAGATGCTTCGACTACGTCACCATCCGAGGTCTTGACTAAGACTAAGTCTTTCACAAAAACCCTATACTACATTAATCTGCACTACAACTTTTGGTTGAGGAATCGGCGGTGCCACACATGCATCGTGAAGCATTCTTGCAGAGGCACTGCCAGCTTGTGCAGTCCCTCCTGAAGTTGAGGCTTTTTTTTTTTCTGCTTTTGTGCATCGCCGGTTGTAGAAAGTTAGACAGCCAGAAAACCATGGAAAACCCAGAACCAGGCAAGAAGACCAATTGTGATCTGTCAAGATAAACATAAGCCGGAGTTTGACATAGCCTTCAGGCAATTGGGACTAGCACCAAGGGGTTTGCTTTGTCTCAAGGGGAATCTACTCTCAAGGGCTTTCGTCGACGCACCACCCACTTTGTCTACCTCTTCATATTATCCTTTGCTTCGGAATCGGCTGATTTAACTCGACTGTCTAGATCCCCACTTGGCCGCTGGCAGGCAACCCTTTTGTCCTTGGGCTTCCCAGCACTGAAGCGAATCAGAAAACACAAGGCAAGCCAGGGTGGAGGACGTTCAGAGGTGCTGTGGGTTTTATATAGACCAGGTTCTGAAGGGTTCTGGACGTTCCTTTCCTGAGCAAGGTTCCAGTGCAGCTTCCTCAGCAGTATGGAAACATAGTGTGGGTTTCATACCCCACAAAGCACAGCGTTCCACTCAAGGAATGGTTGTGTAAGCCGACACCCGAATCGTATACTTGTTGCACAAATCTCCTCATGAAGCCCGAGAGTATGCTGTGTCGAACCTAGTATTCCTACTCTTAACCGTTAACCTTTCACATCAATACAAATTTGTTTTCTTTGATGCGGAAAGAAGGGATCGTATCGTATTGCACGAACACATTGTGAACCTGGGCACCACGCCGGGTTTGAACGTTTCTGCGGCTGAGTATAACTTTGTTGGGCATAGATGCCTTTGAGGTGAGTTTCCACGCCACGTACTTCTTGGAATTTGAGTCTCATCAGGCATGCGGCAAGAGCGTACGTGAAGACAAGATTTTGTAAGGAGTCCTCAATTTGTTTGTTCGCGTCTTTGTTGCACAGGAGCTCGTCCTACAACTCCTGGGGGCTGAGTTGGGAGACAAAGCGCCATGAGCTTATGAATGAGTTTAACCAGTTACTGCAACCCATTGCCTCGCGGATCAGCTTCGAGTCAAGGTTGAAAATCAAAATTTGAACCATGGGCTGTTCTATTGTGAGGTTTGGTTTGTGCACACCCTTTGAGATTCTACAAGGTTCCTCCTCCAGATGAACACAATTTCACTGTCGGTGTCAGCACTGAGACGATCGCTCGGCCACGAGGCTCTTTGACTTGGAACGACCCATTTCTGCGAGCTCCATCGAACGGGCGAGCATCCTTGCACAGGAGAGGAGCAGAGAAGAGCAGAGGCTGCTATGTCACTGCATTTCCAGAGCCTTTTCGTTTGGGAAGAACTGATAACTGCCACAGAGCCAATGTCACACGGCAGAGGGTCTCGGTATGTGAGGGTGCCCAGGTCCATTGAAACAGACAACACTAAGATATTCTAATGTAGAATGCCGATGATTTTGATCCCCAATCTCAAAAGGGTTGTAAAACCCTCTTCAAAGGGTGACCCGCATCCTTCGGTGACTCCAAGGAGGCCGGTCTTCGTGTGCCCAACGTCGTGGCGACCGGTGAGGTCAGTGTCTCGGACGCTTAGGGGCGAGTGCATGGTGAACTGCAGTTAGGGTGAGGTCGGTGTCTTTCGGAAGCTATTGGCTATCGGTTTCCATTCATTTAACATTCCAGATTCCTGTGCTTCCTAAATGGGATGAGAGCTGCAAAACCGAAGACCTTGTTGCCATCTAGAAAAGACTCAAGCGACACGAACAGACAGACTTGAAGGCAGAAGAATGGGGATCTTTTCAGAAAGTTCCCTTTGTGCTCTATGAGCTCATCAAGACCGCCACTGTCGAGGAGAGGCGTACAGAGGCGTTGCATTGAACAGGTTTGATCGTTTGCATGCATTTTTTAATGTTGTGCCATCCAGCTTTGATCAAATTGCTTTGCTTCATGCGATGATTTGAAGTTGTTCTTGCCTGGGCTGTGAAGCTGAAGCAGGACAAGGTGGTGGCACCCCAGGAGGAGCTGTGTCAAATCATTGCAGTTGGGGACTTGGTGAAGATGTCATGGAATCGCAGATTGGTTCATTGATTTGGGAGGAGATATTGGATTGGTGGATGTCATTGCTCAATAATCCGATGTTCACTCAAATTATTTGAGTTCAATTTGGGTGTTTGACGCCGACATGACAAACCAACGCTCATTTATCAAAAAGCACCCCAAACCATTGCACGGAATCACTGTGTGACTATGTCCCGCAAGGGGTGTGAAGAGTCGAGGTGTCGATCACTTCTTCAGCTTTACACAAACTGAGGACTTGAAGCATACTCTGACGAGTCGAAGCTTAGCAGAGGTTGAGACGGAGCCTTTGCCAAGATTCGAGGCCTGAGGCCGCAAACGCACGAAGTTGAGATGTCACAACTGCCATGGCATTTTGTGCCGAAACAGACTGCTTCAATACACTTGAATGCAGAAACAAACAACACATATGCCTACCGACTGGACATGAAGTAAGAGTCGTATTTTGGGGATTGGATGTTTGCTCCACGAACAAGGGTGCTAGGTTAGTGAGCTCCATGGATTATGGTCAAGCCCTGCTTTTCACATGGCAGGACTGCTTTAAGTTTCTGTATTATCTTCATGGACTGGCGAAGCAAATGCAGGCCTTCTTAGGGGCTGCGACTGCACTGACAAAACTCTTGCACTACTCGTAAAGAATCACCGTCACCAGACGTTCTCAGCACTGATGGAAGATACTGCTATCCGAAGTCTGATATCGCGCAGAAGAGGCTTGTGAGCTTGTCGACTCCTGCAAGAAGATGGAAGAGAATCTAAAGACTCTAGGCGGACAACAGTGAAACAACTCTATGTGGAACAACCAAGCGAAACTTGGGATGTCCTCGGCGGATCTCGGCAGTGTGCAAGACAGGCTTGACTTCAGCAGAACCAGTGCTGGTACACCAGGCCACTCTAGCAGGTCGCTAGAAGATGTGCAAGGTTTTAGTTTGCGGTACCCATCTGCCAGGATTTGAATGATGGCAACGTCTTGTGCTCCCCCGATGCATCCGGAAGATGGAAATTTGATGCTCTCATTGATTGGGAGGGTGCTGTTGTAGGCTGGGACTCGATGTATCCAGATGCTTACAGTGGTACATCGTGGTACTTGCTAAGCTTTCAGCAAAGCTCTCGACCTTTTTCTTCTGCGCAGTTGATCCACGGATTGCCTATGACAGAAGCGAGCCGTGGTTAAGCCTACGAACTCTGGCCAAGGCCGAGAATTGCCGCCGACAGCAAGGGATTGATGATGGCTCTCACGATAGGGCGGCTTCTGCGAAGAGGGGTTTCTCATTGCGCAGGTCACCAAGATTCGATGGGTGGCTGCAGCATCTTCAGGTTCCTGAAGACCAGACGACAGACGTTTGAAGTCTTGGCAAACTGCAGTGTGCAATTTCCATTGATATCGTTTATCAAGCATAGTATATGATACCCGATGCTTGTGGTTAGGTGCTGTGCAAATTACAACTTTGCCGCGGTGCTGTGCTGAGGCGCCGTGGCTTTTTGGTTGAATCAATGGCAATTTAGTCGATATTTTGTGTTCTTGTTGTTTTTTGTCCTATCTTGGTTGGGAACACAGATGAAACTGCAGGAGCTGATTGAAGACTATGATGAGCTGGCGGCCTTGCTGGTTGAGAAGGGGTGGCTGTCACACGTGGAGCCCTTGCCTTTTTCTTAACACTTAAGGCTTAATTTGTACATAGCCCAAAGCATTGGCACGACGCACTTCTGGATGCTCGTTGATTGCTTTGACTACAAAGTGCCATGTACGACATCGACAGATCGATCCGAACTAGGTATATAGTTGTTTCTTGTTGTTCGATCGTTACCAATTCCGTGTGCACTCACATGCTACACGTGCAGTCTTTGCTGCCCTTCAAGCCTGTCCTCTTGCCAGTGGCGCCTGGCTCAACTTGTCCTTTTGTGGAGTCACAGAACACCATAGGCCGCAAAAATGCAATGCCATGCACGCTTTGTTCTTGAACATTTGACAGGTATGCCACAGGAAAAGCAAGGCATGAAAGCGCTATTTTGCATTATGCCTTCAAAAGCTCTGTCAGGTCTTCAGATACGCCAGGGGCATGCCAGTTGAGCACTGGATGTTCTCAGAGAGAATGGCACGGCAGGAGGCATCTGGGTAGTAGTGATTGGCCCTCAAGAGCAATCTTGGTACTTGTGCCTTTGAAGGATAGTGCTGGAGGTGGCAAAGCTCTCATGAACTTTATGGAGGGACACTTCCCAGAGGTGTGACATGTGCTAGTAGCTTCTTGTTCCTAGTAGTAATGCCAGGAGCTACTAGTAGCTTCTTGCTACTACTAGTACGGCACCAAGTTGGACTATAGCTTCAGCCCTTCAGCCCTTCATCCCGTCGTTCTGACCAGTTCCACCGGCATCACGATGCTGCAGAGCTGAAGCGATGGTGGAGCTCGAGCGAGTCCAAAGACTTGGAGATATGCAAACGGAGTCTTGAGAGAAAGGCAGTGAAGCGAAACAAATATTTGACTCCTTACAAGTGGTTAGATGAGCCTTCACCCTTGGTGCTCGCTTTGTTGCCTTTATATTGCTTCTAATAGCAGAGAAAAGAAGTCAAGGTGTTGTTCAGACTGAAGGCCTCGCATTTTGGTGGTTGGCCCCTCATCCAGCAGCCTGGCGGCGAAGGCCAAGGACTTCATGCCAGCAGTGAGCCCAGAAAAGCAAAAACTTGACGCACTTACTTCTTGGAGGATATTTAGAGTTGTTCCGATGGCTCCTTGGGCACTTGCTTTCCCAAAAGTTGTCGAAGTAGCGAGCCAATGTGTCGCATTGTAGCTGCAGATTTTGGGAACGTGAAGGCGAGCATGTTTTGTACTGAGGTCTTCCGCCTGGCACATGTTTGGGAGGAATTCTTTGACATTGCTTCTGCTGATGCACAGGTGATGGTAGAGGCCTTCCATAGGTATGCTCAGATGTGCAAGGGAATGGAGGTAGATGGCTAGACTTGTCATGCGTTTGTTGACCTAGCGAGATGCCTTTAAAAAACACTGCTGGCTAGGCTGTAGACTTGAAAGTCATGTTAGAAATGCACTACATGTACATATGACACAAAGGGAACAACATGCAACAAAGGCCCCTGGTGGTGCGCCAAGGGAAAAGCGCTACAGTAGTTCGTGTGCACTTTTCGCCCAGAGTTGGAACCCATCGTGTCTCGAAAGCCGCTGTTCAACACTGATGCTCCGGCCAAGAGTGTCTCGAAACATGGAACAATGGACTCCAACCTAATAGCAATGGTCTCCAACATGCCACGGAAGATTGGGGTGAGTGATTGGAGGTAAATGAGGCTGGCGCTGGCATCCATGACAACGTTTGCTGTTGATGCTCCGGCCTATGGCCATAAGCTTCTTTGAATATGGAGCGTGTACCTTTGTGGAGGTGACAACGGAGGTGGCACAATCATAGCCATGTACGAGTGTTTTCAAACTCTACCAACGACCTTGAGCGAAAGGCCTGGATGAATCTAACACTTATGGAGCTTTAGCGCCGTGACCTCCAGAATTCACTCATCTACTAGTAGCGTTCGGACGCTACTAGGGTGGAGGCCATCGCTACGACCGTAGCATTCGAATGCACAGATCTTTCCACATTCGCAGTTTGGCGCCCCGAAAGGGATACTGACCATACTGACCGCGTAGTTCAAACCCAGCTTCCCGGTCGAAGGGACGCGTTCGTCGACCATTCTGCGTTGAGTGGGTCGACCATGAATTGGACGATGCTTGTGGGAGAAAGGGCAAAGGCTTGTGTTTGCCGTGATTCAGCTTCACAGGTGCTTGGGTCTGACTTTGCCTTTGAGCGAGGCAAGGTAAACGGTAAGCTCTGTAACTGCTTTTTGTTCCAGGGCCCGCACAATCCTGTATTAATGGTATGTTGCACTCGGAGCAAAACTATTGGTTTCAATGCTCTGCCAGGCCAGACATGGGCATTGGTGCTGAGAAGTTCTAGTGGTGTGGTACCAATCACAAAATCAATTGCACATGTGTTTGGATTGTAGGTTCATCTCAAGTTCACCTGATCTTTGCTATATAATATATAACTTTGACAACCAATGTTGGACTTGAGCTCAGGTGCTATCACCAAGGAACACGTCCGCAATGTGAGGGATATGGCTCCCTTGATTCAGGACCGGCCTGATTCCAGTTCACAAAGAATGCTCACAAGGAACTATTGCCAAGTTGAACACGGCCAACCTACCCGATGTCCAGTTGCAGACTTCTATTTTTGAAAGGACTTCATTTCCGAAGAGATTCAGCGTCAGGCGCCCGTGGCCACCGTCCGTCGGCCACTCAGAGGTTTGGGGGGGGACCGTGCCTTTGTCGGGGGGGACCGTGCCTTTGTCGCAGCTGGATGCCGTTTGCACCGAGGGAACTACCAACAGCTTTGTGGTGATAAAGCACTATCTCAGGGTACGAGCAAGACGTGCTCCTTATCAATTGTACTATGAGCATTGTTCGTTGCTATTTTCACTGCATAGCTCTTGAAGAGGTATTGCTTAATCCTGGTGGATGCCAGCACCGAGGATACCGTACTGCCCTGAGCATGTGCGAAGATCTACGACTTCGTCAAGCTGCAACACGTGAAAACAGAACACTCCTTGCACAGGTGAAAGCTTTGCGTGAGTTAGAGTCCTCGCAGAAGGCCTACTACCAGGAGGTCAGAACCTCACAGTACCCCACAGGACATCCAGAGATTGAACAGGTCTTGTGGAGGAGGTTGACGATCCCTAATGTGTTTGTCAGTGAAGAGGGGTATTGGAGAGCCAGGTGCAAGAGCTGAGAAATACTGGCGAAGATTCGGAGGAGAGGGCTGATTTGAGGGGACGTCCGGAGAAGCGTCAGTGTGGAACGTGTGGGTTTTGCAGTAGTGTTTCAAGACACATGTGAATGTTAGAAGTTTGAAAGCCGGGCAGACAACAAAAAGACACAGTTTTCTGCGAATACAAAGTGCCGCCCGACACACGTGCCACACAAGGGAAAGTTGATGGTTCAAGATTCAATTTGGTTTGCCAAGCATTTGATGCCGGTATGAATGTGAGACTACAATTTTGTCTCGCATGCAACATTGAGATTTGCCTGTGAGTGTGGGGGTTGTATTTCCATTGTTGCTACTCGAAGAAATGGTGCCCATGAATCACAACCCTGTGAGTGCACATTGTGTTGCACTAGTTCATGTTTTTTCGAGGAGCCTTTCAGGATTCAGCCCATACGTGTGGCATCCTCTAGTTCCAGCGATGGGCTCAGATGCCAAGGAGCTTGGACGAGAACGTCCATGTGGGCTGTGGGCGTGTATCTCCCAGGTAATTAGTATACACACCGAGAGCGTCCATGTTTTGAGACATTCTCAGACTCTGAGGATTGCCTTGGAAGCCAGCAGCACCTGGGCCCAGCTTTGCCAGCATTTGGGCTGAGGCTTCGGAGGCGAACCCACTGCAGTGCCCGAAGGATTAGAATATGATGCGATGATGTTATAAATATATGTTGTAGATATTGTTATAGGTCAGATGAGTGTCAGACAAGAACAGCAATCGCAGGAAGTTGGAGTTGAACGAAACAATTGAAAAATTCAGAGTTCGTCCTGTTGAGATGTTGGCCGGACACGTTCAGAGTGTGCTCTCAAGGCACGAGTTTTTGTCTTGGAGATGGAGACCCGAAAATTTGCAGCGGTGAAAACTCCCAGCTTGTTAGCGACTCAGCGCTCAGCATAGCTCAGCCCGGCTCAGCCCGGCTCACGGAGCTCCACTGTGCTCTGCCAGATCTTTTGCTTTTGGCTGTTGACTCCTAGTAGTAATGGCCTCCAACCTAATGGCGATGGCCTCCACCTAGTAGTGTCCTTGTCCCTAGTAGCTCCAGGAATGAGATCTTTCAAAACATCGCATACGAGGCGTGCTCTGCATAGATGCCACACGATGCCACACGATGCCACACGTGATTTGCCTTTCTTTGCTTGCCCGAGTCTTCACTCCCGTGTCCGTCGGTGTCAGGACTTGAAACTCGAAGACTTGCATGATGAAGGGCCTCTTGACAGATCTCAGCATTTTTTCGAGTTTTATAAGTTTTATATTGAGGGGTCCTAAAAGCTCGCAACAGGCAGGTACTAGTATGCAGAAGGGCCCAGGTCCTTTTTCACACCTGAGGACGGGTGAACTAATAATCTTGATACAATCTCAGTTCTCTTTTTGTAGCGGAGTTTGTGAGAGGTTAGCATGTTTCCTCGGAGTGAGTGTGACACACAACCACTGACACAGATCGAAGTTGATTGAAGGGTGTGACTGTCCAGGCCACCTTTGTCACGGCTTTTCTCTGATCCAGAGACCACATTGCGCTGGAGCCTCAGACAAAGGGTGAGATTGGACGATTTGGCGAAGCCTCGCAAAAAGGACGCGAAGTGAGCGCATTCCTCTCCACTAGTCCTGAACTCAGTACTTCATCGGACTGTTGCAGCAAAACTTAATGCGAAGCTTTTCATCGCCTTGCAGACAGGCCGCGGAGCGATTTGTGCCTACGTGCTTGTGGCTTTGGTGGTGTCTGTGGCACCAGTGAGGCACCCAGTGTCCGAACCAAGTCCGGTCTGGGTCTACCGCTTCCCATGTGTCGACTTGGGACACAGTGGCACCAGTGTACCGCTTTGGGATCCTTTGTCTCTGCAAGATGTGTCCGCCTTGGGCCCAAAGCGCTCCGCTTTGTCATTTCGCTGTCGTGCTGTCAATGCCGTGGGCGTTCACCATGGGCCTCTTGTCTTATGTTCGCTATGGGCCTCGAGGTTTGCAATTGTGTGGCTTGAGCCTGCCAACTTTCAAAGTCCGAAGAGAACTGGTGTTCCATGCAGCGCCTGTAGCTGCCTTGCTCGCCAGCCTGGTAGCTTTTAGCCAATGTGAGGAGCGGCGGATGAGGGCTTCTCAATCCTGTTCCAGATGTGAACAGTTTGAGGAATCCTCGTCCTTGCTGCTATGGCTTGCAAAACATGGGGGTCACTATATGGAAGGCCTGAGCCTTGAGAAGATTCATGGTCGGGGTTGTGGAATCGTCAACCAAGCAGGACGTTTTTTCGCCGAAGGTGAGACATTGCTGCGAATTCCCTGGAAGTTGGTTTTGCAACGTGAACTCGTGGAGTCCGACAGAAGGTTAAAGATGGTCTTGGACAAATGGGCATCAGCAGATCAAGACATTTACAGCAGCCAGGCAATTCGCTTGTGGCTCCTCCATCATCTAAAATATGCCAAGTCAGACTGGTCGCCGTGGCTCTCGAAACTTCCAAAAGATGTTGCTGCTGGTGCTGAAAGCCTGCCACTTGCATTGTGCTTCCAAAGATCCCACGATCTTAGAGGAACTGCACTGCAGCGAGCAGCTCAGCTTCAGCTGCAAAACTTGGAGAACGAGTGGAAGCGTTTGAAGCAAGTGACGGAATATGAACAGCTTGACGCTGAACTCATCGACACGAACTGGCAGAGCTTCGTTTGGTCTGAAGCGATTCTATCGACACGATCCAGTACCTTGCCTTTCGCAGGTGGAGTTCTGTCATGTCTAGTGCCAGTTGTGGACTTCCTGAACCATGATTTTCATCCAAATGCCGCTATCCGCGCCACCAAAAAAGGAGTGGAAGTCGTTTGTTGCAAGAGGATTGAGAAAGGCCAGGCCCCTTCTTCTTGTTCAGTTTTCGTTATTTTTTGAAAGAACGATTGATTGGGCGATTTTTCGATAGGAGTTGTTGTATGGATTCCAAGACATCGAGACGTTTTGACGGACCAAACGACCAAACTCGGAGGTGAAGAAGTGCTCATCTCCTATGGCGAGCAGATCTCACCGATGCAATTCGTCTATGCCTTCGGCTTCATGCCCAAAGACTTGGAGATCACTGACTTGCTGGTGCCGATGAGAGCTGAAAAGCCGCTGCATTTGCGTATCAATCGCGAGGCTCCACTTGGCTTGTTGGGGAGGGGAATCCTTCTATGTCGGTTTTGAATACACTTGCAACCATTTTTCACAAAACATATATATATATATTATGTATATTATATAGGTTTATTTACAATAAGCGAGACAGCAACCAAAAACCGAGGTGTGAGTCAAGTTCGATAGGTGTTTGAAGCAATCAAAGGAGAAGTGGACTTGTGTTTTTCGTTTGGCACGGCACAAGAGTTGCGGAAAAGGGACTTTTTGGCTCGATATCCAGTGGATTTTGCCGCAAGGACTTGGAAAACTTGATCTCTGCAATGGGTGACCGTCCACGTGCGGCACAGCTTGAAGCTTTACACAGGCACCTGGTGATCCTACCCACATGCGATGATAGGTGAAATGAAGGGTTCAGAAATCCTGATTTAACACACTTGATCGACCAGTTGACTTGGATGGGACAAGATTGTTTTGCCTCAGTTTCCTGCCAGGTTCCTTCGTCTTTGGCAGCAGGAGCTGGAAACAGAGTCGATTTCTCCATCTGCGGCTGAGTTAAAGCAGCGAATGGCAAGGTTTCTGGATGAGGCAATGAGCGAGCTGGAGACAATAGCGCACAGTGCAACACACAAGAAATGAGATAAGATAACAACCAGACCGTTGCAACGGAGCATCCCTGTGTGTCCTTGTGCTCGTAGCCAGGAAGAATCCCTCAGAAGTCCCTTCGCTTCTTATAGGGGGCCAATGTTTTGTTATTCTTTGGGTATTGGTCAAAAGTAGATCCCTTTGTGCCACGATGTAAGAAGAGTGTTTTGTTTTGAGCCAGTGAGCCTACCAAGATGCAGTCGCCCCACTCAGCCAACGGTGACAGAAGCACATGTACACCGAGCCACACGATGCAGCTCGGGATTGCTCCACATTATATGCTCGCCCTCCAGTACTGCAACGAACTCAACTTTGCCAGATGCAAGGAGCAAGGACGCTACCAGTAACAAAGGGCATCGCTACTAGGAGCAAGGAGGCTACGAATGGGGCTCCTGGCATCGCTACTAGGAGCAAGGATGCTACTAGGGGCTCCTGGTTTCACGGAGTTCTCGATCGACATTTGCCTTTCAGGTCCCTTTTGGCCTTACATTGCCTCGATGGCTTCTCAAATAGAGATGAGGGGGTATGCTGTTTAGCATCCAAAAATTGCACTTAGAGCCACTTCGTTTTGCATCAAACACATCTCCTCTCTGGATATTATTCATGGAGATGTTGGGAGAAGACCTTTGCACTGTGCTGTGTTAGTCTTGAGATTGCCTCAAGTCTATCGGATGGAAGTGAGCCAAAGTGTAATTAAAAAGGATTGCAGGCCGCTGTGTTCCAGGGGTCACAATGAGTTTCTCGCAGAGCAAAAACCTGTTCTTTGTCCAACGTCACGTTCTTTCTTTGGTTGACCCACACCCTGTGCTCGCAGTTGGACATCGAAAGGAATGGCGTGTTGGAGATATTTGGATTTTGCGTTTTCACTTTTTTGTACTTCCATCAATCCTGCTGGGTGTCCTTTGGGTGAAGTCTCTTGCTTTCTGAATCCTCGTACCGTGAACATACCACTCATGCCCGGTGCAAAGCAGTCCGGAAGCCACTAGAACCGAGGAGTTGGAATTGTTGCAACTGGCAGTGCCGATGGTGATACTGGTGACGTGCTCAGTGCTTTGCTAGTCCAAGTTGCTTTGCTACTGAACTTACTAAGCTCCACGTGGTCACGCAGCTGTGAGTGTGCCAAAAAACTGGCGGCAAGAAGCTGCAGGTTCTGGTGATGATGCTCGCCTCTCCAACTTTGTTCAGGAAAGTCATTAGAAGCTCAACAGCATTTCAGGATTAGCTGGCATTTCCTCAAGCAGCATGTTTCGTCGAGCGTCTTGGTGCCTTTTGCTGGGTGCTCTGCTCAGAGGCATTTTTTTGGTGCACGATGAGCTCGTCCTGCTCTTGGTTTCACTCGGAAGGTTGCATCACCTTTTCCAGGTGGAACAACAACCGGTAAATAGTCACTACATACATCCATGCTTACATGCACATATGCATACATCCTTACATGCTTACATCCTTGCATACTTACGTACGTACTTGCTTACTTACTTACTTACTTGCTTACTTACATACTTACATACAATCTTGATATGCAACACGTGGGAATACATACTTAGACATCTTGGGTGCATAAAAATAAGGCAGCAGTCAACATGTACAGTATATACTCTGGAGCTTGGGCCTAGGTCCCGGATGGAATGCCAACGCAACTTCTAGATGAGGTGCCTTGTGTGTGCAACCTGAGCTGGGACAATTTGTTGGACGTCTGTTCACGTCCCTTGCTGTGTGAACGCAACACTTAATACAAGTGGCTGAAACTACATGTGTGAGCGAGCTGCTTGAGACCCAAGGCTGCAGATGCCGTTTTTGGAGACTGTGAGCCGCCCCCAAGTGTGTTGACAAGAGCCACGGTGTCATCAATGGCCCTGAGCAGAGAAGATGCTATTGGGCACTTCAGCTCGCTCCGGGGCATGTGAGTTCTTTGAATATGTTGATCCTTTTGGATGCAACCGATAAACATATGCCAATATGCCATGTGCATGAGTCTGTGGCAATTTGGAGATGACATCCCAGGCGCCAAGTGTGATGGCTCGCGCTAGTGGTAAAGTAGTTTTGGACTGACTTCGCAATAGGCGAGAGAAACTGGGCGGTGAAGTGAAGTCTTTGGGCTTGAAGTCCAGAGCATTTAGAGCCAAGGATCCAGGTCGTGCAGGCTTCAGACCGACACACAACCTGAGGTTGGTTTGGACAAAGAGATCCAAAGAAACCCAACCACAAAGAAGTGATTGGACAAGAGCAGTCAGCAAATCCGAAGCTGATGCTGCAGTATCAGTAGCACTGAATGCGGAATAGTTTGTATAGTTGTACCAGTTGTACGTGTGAGGAAAGCATTTATAGTGTACGTAGGCATGTATTTGACCGCACAGTCGGATTATTTCAAACAGATAGAGTCCCAAACAAACTATTGGATGTTAGCCACACCTCCAACTACTATCCTGCAGTCACTTTGTCATACAGTATACACGTCAATCGCTCGATCCAATGCACACACACACTTTGGTAGATTGACCGAGGTACTCTCAAACATGATGACACTGGAGAGCTGATGTTTTGAAGATCATAATCATCGATTGTAGAACAACTTACAACTTCGGATTGCCAATGTCTTTCTGTCGAAGCTGTCGGCCAAAGCAAATGCCTGACAGTTTGCAGCAAAGGCCTAGTTGCCTTTGAACTGGCTTTGGCTGAAGCTGAGAGATCCGCGACATCAAAACGGAGCTGCTTGAACCAACAAACTTTGACGGGTGGCAGTAATAGTTGCTCCCCACCTCTTCATTGTTTATTGACGACACTCCTTCAAAGAAGCTGGCTATTCCATCAGTTCAGGCCGGCCTAGCAGTTTGCTGCAGTCCCGGCAAAATCAGTAACTATTGACACCGTATTGTGGTGTCGTTGGTTGAACCATATCAGAATTTCTGGAGAGATTGTGCTCCCAAAGCGTCAGCTGCCAACCCCTTGGCTCAATTGGATGGTGGCAATATATCAGATAGGAGATTGGCAAGCAAGAAACCAGCTTACGAAAGCTCTAAAGACTGGTAAGATGCCTGAAGCTTGAGATTCACAGACACGACACTTCGACTAAGCTGCAGTGGCTAGACTCAAACAGTGCACGTCAGGCTGCTGTTAGGGTCCTTTTCGATTCTTCAGCTGCCTGTCCTGTAGCCTCCGCAGAGTCTTGGCAACAAGAGGCTTGTTACGAAAGCTAGCATCAGCTAGCTGGAGTTGTCCTTGCTTTAGCAAGTGAGGGGCTGGAATCCTCGAGATCGCCGCATCACGTGAAAACTTCATATGTAGAGGCCCCCCCCCCGCGGGTTCAACTCCCCCCTGGGACGCCTCTGGGACGGACATCTCTTGGACACCTCTTATGGCATCTCCTCCGTGGAGGTTTTGGGATACAATGCAACAGATTCAACAGATTCACAAGCTAAGGTTGGCTGTGTCATTGCTGTTCGCGTGTCTTACATGTTCACAACGTTTTACCTCATGAGCGAGACCTTGTGAACCATCCCTCCAACAGCCCCATGCCTATGAAAAATTTGCCTCACTCCGCTTGATGTCCCTTGATGTCCCACCAGTCCTTTGTCACTGGACGGCGCTGTATGCTTCGCCTCCACTGACACGGATGCATCCCTGCTAGCTTTCGTCACCTACCCTCGGCCTCAAGTTCTGGTTCATTTGAAGCCCGGGACGCAGCGTTTCTTCCACAAGTATATAGTTGGATGCATAATTATCATTTGCAATATATACGTAACAGTATGTTTATGTAATCTATACAAGTAGTTCCCGGGCAAGCCGGCGGCGGAAGTTTCCTATAAGAAGAAATTGACCTATAGGAGTGTCCACGTTCTCTCCAACATGCGCGTCCTCGAGTCAAACGCACGCGCTCCGGACTTTTGACCCACGGGATTCCACGTGTGTAAGGTGTGTGTGCCCCCGATTGCTCCGCGTACTAAAGTTGTACTAGAAAGTCGCCAGTTCTCACCATCCAGCTCCACAGATACTCCGCGTAGTAAAGTTGTACTACAAAGTCGCCAGTTCTCCTCGTCCAGCTCGCCAGATACTCCGTGTACTAAAGTTGTACCTAGTCGCCAGTTCTCAGCTTCTAGCTGCACAGATTGCTCCGCGTACTGAAGTTGTACTACACAGTCGCCAGTTCTCATCGTCCAGCTTGCCAGATACTCCGCGTACTAAAGTTGTACTACAATGTCGCCAGTTCTCAGCTTCCAGCTCTACAGATTGCTCCGCGTACTAA